ACACTCAGGCAACAGCTACATGTTCTTTATTGCTTTAGGCGAGACCATCAGAATTATGCTTTCTTCTTTTATTTCTTTGGCTAGATTTTCTTTCTCCTCCTAAATCCCATCCAAGCATCACAATTCTCTCTCTTCTATTTGTTGTTACATCTGGCTTTCTCCTCTCATTTTTTGTTTTTTAATTGCAGCACTGTGAAATCCACATGGAACGCAACGTTTATGCCATTCTTGTGTCTCCCAAGAGGAGGTATTGCTGCCAAGAAAGTCCCATCACCCACTCCTGTGAACTGCACCCTTAGAGGCTGGGGGATTTACAGTTCCAGAGAAACACAACTGTCAAAGGGAACTCATTAACCAAGGGAGGAAGAGGGGTACCAGTCAGTAAAGGAGATTTTCAATGTCCTAGTCTCAAACTTGAGAGGGGGAAAAAAAAAATCAACTGTTTATACCAATAGCAGAAAACTCATAAACTCTGATTTACACTATTTGTAACCTCAAGTTCCGCAGGCATGACCTGAGACACAAGCAGAACCAGTAGCAGAGAAGGCTGGGAGTCAATGTCACATCAAAGCACGAAACAACCCACCGTTTCTAAAAACAAGAGCTTAAACAATACTAGTCATCAGTGTAATCACCTATTCTGCTCCCTCAAATACCGTCTCCATCTGCAAACACAGGATTCTGCTTCAGCCAGCCAGCTGGAAGTGATGCTATCAGTGTCAGGGCAAAGCGCATTGATACCTCCTGTGTGTTCCTAACATTCAACACCATGATAAATCAGATTCTCACAATAGCTTTCTGTAAATGTTACAGGACATTTTTCTCCTGCCACACAGTCCCTTACCCCACTCGGATACCACTGTATAGTGTTGCATTGCAATTATTTCACCACTGCCTACCAGGAAGTTCCACTTCCACATCTCATACAGTTCTTCCTAATGGGTAACCAGAGCCGTCGTGCATCCACTTGCTGCCTTACACCCATCTTTCATTCCCCATTTCCCACTCAGGGACACCTGATACACTGATGGTGATGTCAGAAGCTTTTCTACAAAGGATCTGGTCTTGGTTTGATGAAACGTGTGTACAGCACAGACTATTTTAAGCCTCTTGGATATTTAAATTCTGTCTCCCACAATTAAAGTCCCTTAGACACAGCACACGTACATGTAACTTAATGTAGAATGAGAAAGCTAAGCTAAATTTTAAGATTTTTTAGGGGGAACAGATAAGAACATACTGCAGTACAAGAGATCACTATCCCCTTCCTTTAGCAAATATCCTTACAGTACACTCCCCATTTCATGCCAGTGAAGGGTGGTTTCTTTCATGCCATCCAAGTCTTACCTCCCCTGCTTAATGTCAAAAGACATTAAATATGGACATTCAGAATATCAAATTATTTTTTCTAATTTCCTTTTAAAGAGCAACTGAAGGCTCAAAATGTAACTCCAGCAAGTAACTTGCTTTCCATTCACTGTTATGTGTGATGAAAGGCTTATCTAGGAACACACTTGAGCATGATAACAACTAAACACATGAAACACTGACGCTGCAATAGATAGGAACAACACAGACAACAACTGTTGTGTTTCTGACCATATATAGTCAGCAAGCAATGCCAACAAATACCAAACAGTTTAGCTATGCCTGTACAACTGTTAGAAAAGTATAAGCAATCACACCTTGACGTAAATGCTAAGTATAACGCTAGACTTTAATGCAAATTCCTAAGATAACGTTCCCCCACATAAACTACATCACTGTTTAGGCTTTAAATTTATTACAGATCAGAATCAGGACATTAATCATAGTCTGATGTTTAGTGTCAGAAGTGTTCACGGTTGAACAATGCTCCTTATTTCCTTGTCTATGTATTTTACCATTAATTCACAGCACATTATGAGTCAAAAGGCAATTTTTTGAACCGCTGTATACATGAAATTTGGCAGTGAGAATTTTTCAAAATACTTATATTTGGGTTTACTGTACTATTTTAGAATCAAAATGTGTACATAGGTACCTTTTAACAAACCAGATCAACAGGAAAACACGGCAGTTCTTTGGTTACTAGGCTGGTGGATTTCTGAGTGATGCACGTAGTTCACCACTCACAGGCCTGCCTGGGGACATATTCAGTAGAGTTTCAGAGCACAGTGAATCAAGATGTGGATAGAGATAAGCCTCAAAAAGCACTTTCTTGAGAAGGGGCTCAAAGAAAAATGCAGAGGACCTCTGTTTTAAAATTGTCACCTCTAAGACTATAAATCTTCAATAAAACTTCACAGATATCAAAGGAACCAGAAACTAGATTTACCCAGGGAACATGCCTGCCATCCATTATAGCAACGATTTCTTTCAGATGTCTCTAACAGAACTCAAGTGAATTTGAGATACCAAAATCCCATCCACTATAGTGTTTGTCAGGACTCAGTAGTCAGCGAAGCCATATTCATGCCCCCATTTCTGAAGACATTAGATAAGTCACTAATGCATTAGATGAATTAAATGCAACAAATCTTCTCTTTATCTTATCTCTACTGTTCACCTTCATCCTAATTTACTCCTTTATCCCCCAAAACATTCCTATGAACAGGATTATCAGCAGCAGCTTGACAAAAAGTCTGCACTTCTCTAAAAGGAACCCCTATTAATCAGTTCCAAAAGTAACAAAGCAGCATTTTCACACTGGCGATTAACATTCAAAAGAAATGAGCATTTAATTCTCATGTCACACTCAGCAAGCCCAGTGAGCAACACAAACTAAAATGACAGAAGAGGTAAGAGAGTATTTATTCTTTCCAGGTGTTGGTGTGCAACTCTGGGACTGATAGCTTGGATTCACATCTCAGTGAAATCATCAAGAGCATTGTTTCAAAATTCCACTATACAGTAAATACAAGCTGTAGCCGCATGCAAAAATTCATGCTTTATTTAAGAGCATATTAATAAAATGCCTGCCAGTCATCACAGAAAATTAAATACTATATGCTATAACATGCATGGCAGGTGACTGCATGCAAGTACAGTTTACCAGAATTTATGACCCACACCCTTCCAAAGAGCTTGAAGTAAATATCAGGAGACATTTAACAGCAGCAGAATGTAACTTGAAGCACAAATAATGAGGTTACATGCGATACGGTATACCACAAATTGAAAATAATACACAGCTTCGAAGACTAAATATACCTGCAAAATTAACAAACTGCTATCTATTTTACAATTGTTCACCAGCTTCTTAAAATGAACTTCATGGTTTGGCAAATCCTTGGAGGAAAATCAGCTGTGAACATTCAATTTGTCATTGCATAACGATGGGTGATAACATGGACTTAACTTCCTTTTAAAATGTATGAGGTACATATAATCTACTTTATGTATTATTTATTTTTGTAGTTATCTCTGGTCTTGGCTGAGAATCAATAAATAAATTGAAAATGTGAAATATTTTTATATTATCTATGTATAAAAATCAATATAAAACTATGTATTTTCTTCTTGTCTTGTGTTATCGGTCTAGAATGGATGGGTTAACATTTTAAGAGTACTCCAAAATGAATGATTTTTTTAAAAGCTCCAGCTGATCAGTGTGACAGATAACAATGGTATTTGGTGCTTATAATGTTTTTAATCACAAATGACCTTAAGGCACCTCAGACACCGTATGCATATGTCAAACTCTAAAATGCAGTCATCTCTGGATCCAGAGGAAGCAATAGCTGGTAATCACTACCCTGAACAACAGCAAAGACTCAGAAACCGTCCCAGCAGTACATGGAGAAACACAAAATTTATAAAAACCCAAACCCTCATTAAGTTGCAACTTTAGTAAGAGCAGGGTGATACAAAGACCTGGTTTAAACGCCTCATGTGCAGACTTCAGGCACAAGTTGCCACGTGACATAAAAACATACACCACACTGCTCAGGAGTGGAAAGGCAACTGAAGCCCCTGGATAAAATGAAGCCTGGTTGCTCGCTCATTCAGTAACATGGCCTGACAAAAACTTCATGGTACAAGCACTTGTTCTTTGCTTGTTGGCTCCCACTTGTTTAGGAAGACCCTTGCTTTCATCAGCCCCTCTTAACCTGATTCCAGGCAACCCTTGGGAACCATTTGTTTAGAAAATTCATGGAGCACTGATGAAAGGACATAATTCTCAAATGACTAAAAGCATTACTTTTTCTGTTCCCATTTTCCCCCAAAACCACCTTCTGAATCAATTTGCAAGGTTGATTTCTGCAGGAACACATTTTGGATGTCTGACATCCATCCTGGTCTTCATGTTCACCCAACAGGCCATGATTACCCATGGGGAGGATAAAAATCAACAAAGCAAAAAAAAGCCTGAAAGGAAGTGGCCAATACAATGTCCCCAGCAGATCATAAAACCTAGTCCTACTCTGGGAGCCTGGTTGGAAATAGGGACATAGTCATAAGAAACAGAATATGCCAAAACTCGCCGAAGATGAGCTGCTCTATCCTGAGGGGATGATTCTTACAATAGGTAAAGAATTCATCTTCCTCCTACTGAAGTCTCAAAACGTATCGCCAAACGGGACTATGACACCTTCCCAAATTAAGTCCTCACTACTGCACGAAAGGGGGAACATTTCTGGTTTTAATTTTTTAACTAAAAGGCCTTAATTCCAGATTCAGGAAAACATTTCTTTTCAAGCAGAGCATTAAAGCATGCATTAACCTAAATTTGTGCTTAACAACCACTAAAATTAACAAGGAGAAACCCGTCTTCACTGAAAAAATCCTCAAACCAAACCAGTAAACCACACAAAACTTGCACTGACACAATGGGGTCCAGCCTGCACACTTCACCTCCTTATAAGCAGTATCTGAGAGAACACAATTAGACAACTCAAAGTTCAGACATTTGCACATCAGAACATATTTCTCATGGATACCCTAACATCATTTTTATACCGGGTTTACATGGTTAAACTAATTCCTTATGATGCCAGAATTATTTGTCATATACTTACTGTCTTTCTGGACATCAGCAAGTGCAGCATGAAGTTCCTCCTTAAACGCAGTTGCTTCCCTGGCAATTTTTCCCCCCTTGTCCAACAGATTCCAAGTGGCTTCTTCCACAGATGCCAGCAAGACACGAGCTCGTTTGGAACGGCCCTTTTTCTTACTGGAAGGATTCTGTGGACAGTTCACTAGTGTTGTAACCTGCATTTAAGAGAAATGAAAAAGACAATAGTGGTGTAAACTCTGTAATAAATACATTGACATTGTTCTCAAATTAAAAAAAAAATAATATAGCTGAGAATAAGCAATGAGATTCCCCTTGCTTAGAGAGGGACAGGCAAGCTCAGCAGGCATATTGAGAATTGGCAAAACTACTGAATCAAATTTGAAAGATAATTCTACCTAATGTGCCTCATCTTTGTACTCTTCTTTCTGTATGAACGAAGCAAAGTCAATAGAAATCTCGCTGTCATATTAACCCTGATGCATACCCCTGATACTGCTTATTTTTAAGTTTCCTCGTTATTAAAGAAATATTAATGTTATCTAAAGTGGCTTCAGCCAAGGCAGCAATTATAATCAGTGCTGAACCTTCCCATACTTGCAGCTTAAATCTCCCCAGTTATCTCAGAAGCAAATACCCAAAAATTAGTATAGACACATTTCAAAACGCTTTCTCTTCTTACAGAGGAGGATCGCAGTAGTCAGAACTCAGCACCTCGGAATTCCCTGGGGGGCTCTCTACATTAAAATTGTACATAATTTCACCAAGAATGTAGGTTTACTGCAGCCTTTTCCAAATTGTGTTTTTTTAACATTGCACTTCAACAGCCACAAAGAACTTATTTTTATATATTTCCCCACTCCACATTCCTCATCATCTGAGCACAGCCTCCACACTCCAACAGAACGTTTCTAACACACTATTCTCTAAGGCATTGCTTCAGCTGCCACACTAAGGAAAGGTTCCTAAAAGATTTTAAAAGAAAAGTATTACATAGATATTTCAAAACATACTTTATTTTCATTAGGATCACAGTTGTTTTTTAATCCTCCTCCTATTCTGTTCTCTGTGCCAGAACATGGACAGTATAATATTAAGTACGGATCAAATCTTGGAGCTCAGTGAACACATTTTACATGTATATAATTGCTTCAATTTATTAAATGACATTCCAAGCATCAACAATATTGTATAAGCAAAGCAAAAGCTGTATGTTAATTTCTAAGTCCAGCAGGCAAATGAGGATATGGCTGCAGTACAGCTTGTGGTCTGAGCTGGTCTATGGAAAACGGCTCCATTCACAGGTATGCGATGAGTGCCCAAGCTATGCCCTAGCTCACCTTTGAATTCCTGCACTTTCGTGCTTTTCACGAATCGGTACCTTTCGAAGTAACTGACAAACATCCTCTGGGAAGCAGTTCTATAAATGCATATTTGAAAGAAAAAAGCCCTGACCCTACATCATTCGTGTGGAATTTTTTGGGAAAAAAAGATGACCAGCCACTTGACATCAACTGCTTCGCCGTGTCACAAGGGAGACAGCAACATAAATAACTCTGGCTCAGATTGTTAAATAGGGCATTGGTATTTTTCTGACTGTGGCTCAAAGAAAGTAAAGGAAATTAGTTATTGCACGTAAATCAGCCAGCTGGGAATATGAGCCTTAATATCTTTTATTTTTACAAACCTTCTAACGTTATTTCCAGAGCACTTAATACAGCTTCGATGATGGTATTTTTAAGAGCAAGGTAAAGAGATTATAGGCTGATACTTCCAACAACAAAGGCATAAAACACTAAAAAATTAGAAGCTGCCCCAAACACCTATGAAGTAAATGACATTTTTAAGTGCCTTAACTATTTGATCAACATTCCCAGAAAACATCCTTACTGCAGTCTCCTTTTAGTGTCAACTACTATTCTATGCACTGTTCATTCATATGTTTTGAAAGAGGAGGAAAAGAAACAAAACAAATAGGAAAATATGAAAAAATAATCACTCCTGCAAGTGAAAACTCTTTACTGTAGGACCATTCATCTTCAGCAAGACTGTCAGGAAATATCAGTTTCTGATCTCTAATACAAGTTAAAATGTCATAGGTAGTTCTTGGCTCCTGGGGATTAAGGAATACAGAAAAACAACTCTGAATTCTTTAACATAGAAACCCAATAAGAAATGCAAAAACTATATGCAGATCCTACACAGAAATAATTGAACTAGACAGTAGCTAATATAGTGTGCCCTTCTGATCCACTGTCAACACAGCTTGCACTGCAGTGGCAGAATAAAAAGTCAGTATTATATCATTATTAGAAAAAAGAAAACCCTATCCTCATTAATCCTGCTCATGCCCAATATAACTTCCCAGTTATTAACACCTTCTTATTGCCAGACACAGCATGTCTCCCAGCATTCAGTGGAAATCATTGTCCAGAGGTTATTTAGTATCTCTGGGAGTTGTGCTAGAGGCACAAGGTTTTTTAAGTGAGATTTTCAAGTGCATATACCATCACAGCTGCAAAGCTGAATCATGTTGCTGTTCCCTCTTATTACCACTATTTATTAGGCTGAAGGGGTGGGATTTTTTTGTTGTGGTTATCCCAAATCCTGAATTCCCAAGGAACTGTGCAGCAGTTGTTCCAATACTATATTGGGTTCCTGGCAGCCTTTACAATTTTTTAATATTGCAGTAGCTAAGGACACAATTTCTTGGTACCTTGAGTGTCAATAGATTTGGTACACCTTTGATATTAATATAAAAGTATTTCAAAGCATCAATCACAGAGCATTCTTTTTGATTCAAAATTTAGTTCGGTGTAACAGCAATACCTGGACACTTGAAAAAACAAGACATGAAGTCAGTGATTTAATGACAAGGGCAGAACCCTCTGCTCACTGTTCCAATTCCTAGCCAGACATATGAGGATAGCAAAGAGCTGCCCATACAAACACATACTGGTTAATCAGTTTCAGTATGCATAAAATAAACTCACCATTCATAGTACTAAAACCAACAGTGCGTGTTTTCTGTGTGAGCGAACTTTTGTTGGTGTGGATGACAGATGGGAATAAATGGCTTTAACTTGTCTATTTTTCATCAGTGATGCAAGGGAGTCTAAAATACATGGATGTTTCTACATATTCTGTAAAACTTACTTATTTCCTGCAACCATAAACTTTATTTCACTCATATGCATGTATAAAATACAAATGGATGCTAGACAAGAGGTTTGGCAAGAAAATACTTGCTTATGTATACATACACACACACAACATATGTTAAGTGTGTGTGTGTATACACAAATGTATAGAGAGAGCTTTAAATACAGTACCCAAATAACAGGCAAATTTACAGCTTATAAGACAGAGCAAAGGCAGTTATGAAGTGGTTTCCCCGTGAATCCGTGAAGCTATATGAATCTCATCAAGTCATCTCTTTCAAAACTTACACGTGTACGTAAAATCAAAAGGTTTGCTACAGAAGCAAATTTATACCTAACCATAACTGTAATCATTACATAGTACAGCAAGGAGATTAAACAGACTTCAGCCTCTGAGGATGAGAGAAAACAAGAGGATATTTTCCATTACATTAATTGTTACATTCTGTGAGTAAATCTAGCACAAGTATGACAAATATTAGACATCAGCTATGTGAATGAAAATGCTTTATGATCCACTGATTCCTTCACACTAATTGCTCCATGACAGAGCACATCTCTAATAAAAGCCCAGAATTAAGGAAAGATTGTTTGGGCATGGATCCAATTTCCATCAAGGTATCTGTCAGTTGAATTATGTCAGTTTTGACAACTATAATTTTTAATGTGACAGATGCATTGCTATAGGACTTTACCTAAAAGCCTTCCTTTCAAAACTTATGTCCTCAAAGCACCTGGAATAAAATAAAGGCCATAGACAGAGAGAACCCTGTCTGGTGAGGGGGCAATTGGACAGGACTTAAGAAACATTTTGCAGTACAGATTAAACAGAGTGCAGCTAGTAGTAAATATCCATGAGAGCACAGTTTATAAGGCTGGACACAGGATTACACTAATGCAGTTACACCACTTCCGACATACAGGTTTCTATCTCTGCAGAGCCCTGCACAACACTATTTGTATTTACCACCTGAGGCCAGGCCACTGTTCAGGATGCAGAGGGAAATGCACTGAGGCAGCAGTCACCCAAACTTTGTAATTCAGGGGCAGAGTTTTATTCCAAGGATGGAGAAGTTGCCAAGTCGGAGAGGGTTTTATACAAAACACTGCGTCATGCTGTTGTCGCAGTTTCAAAGCGATCACCACTGCCAGCTGCAGATTGCAAGGCAGAGAGAGAATCTAGCTAAGTAATTTGCAAAGTCACATCCACATAGGCTGGTTTTACCTTTGTTTTCTCTCATACTGATGCTGTTAACCCAATGATTGCTCTAACACTTAGCATAACTGGCTAGGACAGATTTCGGAGAAGCTCAAACGCTTCTCCTGCCTCTTTCCTACCAGATCATTGCAAGACTAGTAAATAAATAAACTAGAGCATACATCTCTAAATAAAGTTAAACGGTGTTCAAAACAGCAGTTGCTAAGTGAATCAGGCCAGAGCATAATACTATTCATTTATACCTGCGACTGGTCTGATTCTCTTTCTAATCATAGATCAGTTTTCATTTATGTTCTTTCCAGCATCTCAATCATCGGTCACTGAGTATTAGTTCTAATCCCTGCTTTTGCATTTTCAACATCTTTTCTGTCTCCTTCCCTTTCAAAATGCATGTTTCCCTTCCACAGTTCTGTTATGAAACAAACAAAGCATTAAGGTTGAGAGGGGGAAAAAAACAACCAACATCGTATTCTCTTTGAACAAAAGCATTTCCATTTTCAACAGACTCTAGCTTTTTAAAGGTGCTTGAGAAGAGCTTTTTTAAAAAAAATTAGACAGTTGGTTTGTTTTTTACTGAAACTGCATTTCTTAGTTTTGTCAGGTTTCTTTAAGCGTGCAAAACTCAGGCCAAAATTTGTATTTCTTCATCTTCTCTAAGAATACATATTATGTTGCAGCTGCCCGAGCGTAGTCTGACCTACTGGTACCCAAGAGAAGGTTTTAAAATGCAGTCTATCAAGACATCTATTCCTACTAATCTGAAACTAATTTTATAATCCATCCACATATGATGCCTCAGCTTGATGACTGCCCACAAACCCCTGAACTGTTAATTGAGGGTTTATACACCATCAATCACATCTAGGAGGAAACCAAATAAATAAAGGCAGACCAAATGAGTGAAAGGCAGCTCGGTTAGTAACAGCTGGAAAGGAAGTAAGTGATAAAAAGAGGAGGTTACTTTCTGAAGAAAAGAATCTCCCAAGGGGACAAATGAGTAAGATAGGAGAAGATCAAGTCAAAAATAAGAGAAGAAAATTCAAAGATTATAATGAAAAATTAATAAAAGAAACTGGTAAGTTAGGGAGAGGCAAAAGTTTCAAATGGAGAAAATGCAACTTTATTTGTTAAAGAGAAATTTATTTCATTGAATTAACTGATTTTTAAAAGCAACTTTTCCTGGAACTGTTATAAAACATAATTGGCAGCTCTTTGCTTTTCCTATCTTTTAGAGCACATACAGCACATCTGGAATGAATAAACTACTTTTCCAACATGAAGGTCCAAATAAACATTAAGAACCATCACACCAAACGTACTCATCACCTTACTGTCCTCATCTTTCATCTCTGTATTCTTCCCTCCAATCATCATGTGCTGCCTCTTTAATTACAGTCCGTATCTGCTCACCACCCTTTGGCAAGCCCAGGGAAACACCACGCAAAGGACTGGCTCCCAGGACAAAGAAGGAAAGATGTCATCTGAGAAGCACGTGTGGAAAGCAGTGCATTCCTGGAATACCAAAATTTACCATGTACCTAAGTGGCTGAGTGCACTCAAATGACACCCATGAGTTGTACAAGAAAAAAATGTTTTTTCCTTTAATATCTGTCTGTTAGATGTGTCAGTCTGATTCGTGTTAAAATAATGTGGAGGTCATAGGGAAGATGGGACCTCTGGGGCTATTTTGGCTGTCCTTGTACAGAGAACAGATTGAGAACAAGTAGAATGGAGTATATAGTTGTGTAAAACCCATAAGGCACCAGAAAGAAAAAACACTCCCTCAGAAGCAAGATAATACCAGTCCTGTGGTGTGAGCAAGAGCCAAGAAATAACTAAGTCTATACAAGAAGAAAAAATTAACAAAGGTTACGAAGAGAACATCCCCTGCGACCCCCCCCACGACCACCAGCAAGGGACACTGCGCAAGCGCGGATGGGAAGAGAGCTAATTATAATACGAAGTGGGGATAGGTCATGCATATGTATAAGCGTATTGCGAAATTCCATGAATATGTATTAGTTAAAAAAAATATAAACCCAAAAAAAGACCTGTGCGGGTTGAGGGATCAGAACAGGATCAGGACATTCTGTCCCCACGCACCCAGCGCTGTTTGCTTGCCTTTACTCACTTAATAAACTGTAAACTTTAATTGGAATCCTGTTTGAGGCTAAATCATTTATCACATGTCCAAGTGCATAATTGTTTTAGCTTTAACTAAAACTATTTTTAGTATCTATTTTTTAAAAATACAAAAGTTGCAAATTGAAAAAATGGAAATAATAGAAAACGTAGTAGTTTTGTGCTTCCCTTTTTTTAAATAAGCTGTACAGCCTCAATTCTTACACTACATACAAATATACAGAATAACAGCCAGAGTACAGGATTCAATCTGGCTTTGCTCCATTTAGCAATGGTCACCATCCCAGTATCAGCTTTGTTTGCTGATTGTTACAGCTATTTAACCAAAAGTTACTGTCTTGTAAGAGGCATTAGTCAATGAGTTTGGAAAGTCCTTATCCGACCTCTGAAACGACTTCATAACCATTATACCTGCCCATCTTCACAACCTGAAAAACAAAGTATTCCTTGTGCATTAGCCAGTGAAAGAAAATTCTGAATGGAGTCACTCTGTACCTACGCAAAGTACAGCCAGAGCAGGGACTGCCATGTACATACTCTCAGGCACCAGGAAAAGAATGTGAAATAAGCAGCATACAGCTGTGACAAGTGCTCTGCCCTACCATCTTGGCAAGGCTGAAGGACAGTTATAAACTGCCGTGCCTGTGCTGTGTGTAATTGACTCATTAAATGCAGGTACCCCGACATCTCTGTCCTACGTACAATGAAGAGAAAATTCAAAATACCTTGCGTTTCAAAATAGAAGATGTCCTTTCTGTTCTTTACGCTGTAACGTATTGCCACACAGGTTTTTTAACACTTTCTTGGTTATACACATTATTTGCACGTGAGTTCAGGTCTTCTGCAAGTAGGTCCTTTCCATTGTATTAAAAAAAAAAATCTAATCCATGCCAAATATTGAGATAATGAGAGAATCTTGAATGCACTAAGCACTGCATATTTAATCAGTGAACACTTGAAACAGAATTGGAATATGCAGTAAAATTCCTCCTCCTAAAAAGAAAGTTTTATCAACAAACCTCAAAGCATTTCTCTAAATCCTTCTGTCCAAGTTTTCTCTAGTTGGAAGGAAAAGTACTAAAATATGTTCATACAACATGCAACAACTGCACTGGTCTTAGGGCATCTCTTCTAAAATGCAATTCTTTTCGAAATTCAGATAAAGAAACCCACCTACAGATTTCAAAGCTCTTCTTTTCCACTCTGTCCACTACTTACCATATGATACTTTGGATGTGTTGAAAATCCATTTGCAATGTATTCTACATGTAAACATCCACCAGATATACTGCACAACAGACTAGCTAGAACGTGCAACATTTGCTATGATGTACTGTGTGGCGTTTGCAAAAATGGAACTAAATAAATGATTGATCAAATCTGGAAGAAGACAGGTTCCCCTGGACAGTTTCTGAGGCAGAGTAAACTACAAGAAGAGCTATGCATATGCCTTTCGTAATAGCGTCCTTAGCCAAGGTTCTTCAGCCTTATTTCCTTCCCTCTATAGTTACCCAATATATTCTCTGCAATACTAAAATACCTGAATTATCAATGGTTCCAATAATTTCTCCACTGTAAACGTCTGGATGTGCAGATCCCGAGGATCAATTTTCAGTTTAAGGCTTGGCATTTTTGTTGACATTTCACCTAGGTACAAAACAACAAAAAAAATGCAATAAGCAATTATTAGCCATGACTGCAAGTCTCATTGCGCTCTGTCAGAGTCCAGAGACTGCCGACTGAAGTACAGATTTGGTTCTATAACAGGCTTAGGATTTCAAGAGATAAAATTAATTCTTACAATTCCTCATTTCTAAATTGCGACAAAAAAAATGCAGCTACTTGCATGACCTGTAAAACAATAAGCAATAAGCAATTATTAGCCATGACTGCAAGTCTCATTGCCCTCTGTCAGAGCCCAGAGACTGTCCACTGAAGTACAGATTTGGTTCCATAACAGGCTTAGGATTTCAAGAGATAAAATGAATTTTTACAATTCCTCATTTCTAAATTGTGACAAAAAAATGCAGCTACTTGCATGACCTGTAAAACAATAGATTTAAAGTACATACAATTCCTTGTCTTCTCTTCCACGTTTCTAAATTGACCATGTATTAAAAAATACACAAGGATAATTGCATTAGAAGATCTTTGAAAATAAGCTCTTCAGTAGTCAATAAAAAGGAGCTTTAAAGCAAAAATTATATATTACATTATTGAATTTAACACAAAATGAACACACTAATGCTACGTGTACAATACCTGTATCTTATTCCATGAGCCAAATTACAGCGGTCATAATAAACACTTTAAGAACAAAAATATATACAGCAGCTCTTAAAACTCCTGGCAATTAACAGTAGGAGAAAGTGAAACATTTAGTTATTTTACGCCCTGTAATAACAAATATTATTCTAAGTGTCAAGACAGATTAAGTCAAGAAAGCCTATTACTGAAGTCAATAAGAGGGAATTAAAGCTAAGTAAGGTCTTTAAAGTTAATAAATCATTCATTAGGAGCTGGATACAAAGTCCACTGATGTTAATTTAAGGGTTTTTACTGAGTTTACTGGGCTGTGGTTCAGGACTTTAGCTGCAGTGAAATGTGTGTGTGCCAATAAAGAATTATAACTGTGCTTTAGTAGGAATGCAACTGATTATTACCCCAAAAGAAATTTTAAATTTTCCCATAAACTGAACCTCCCATAAAACAAAGCTCAGCAAAGCCTTTTTGACCAATAAAGACTTCAAACTTTAACCAATAAAGACTATGGATATCTGTCCTTTTTTAAGCAGGACTTATTACAACCATTGCAAAGTAATGAGGTACTGTAGTTGTGCAGGCTAAAGAGATATATTGTCACCTTCTGGTGAACTTAGCATTGATTTAATACAACACAGTAGGTTTAGAGTTTCTACACCAAGTTGTGGAGAAATGAATCCTAATTGTTTATCACAAAATAGTTATCCACATTTCACTCACAGGCAAAGATAATATGAACAATAACTAAAGAATTAAGGTTAATTTAGGGGTTTGCCATTCTTAGTAAAGGTTATACAAGTTCCAAGTTTATTCTTTTCTTACAAGCTACACCAGTTGTAGCCCTATGCTCCCACAGGTTCAGCTGCATACAGTCAAGTAATAGATCCGTAAAGAAGTAATTTTTCAGTTTTATTTCCAAGTCAAAAGATAAAGAGAACAAAAACTTGAGATTTGACTGACTGGAATTACACTCTTCCTTCCATGGACATTAATCGTAGAAAGACAGCTCCATAAATGTCAATGCCAATTATTCTACCACATTTAGCTTTTAGATACTTGTAAGAAGACTCCCAGAATCACCAGTGCCAGTGGTTCTCTTTCTGTCCAATGAATTAGTAGGTAGGATACTCCCCCAGTTTTGAAATACTCCAGTTTAACTTATCCTCTGAGCCTCCTCATCATTCACTGCTTCAGAAACAAGTCGTGGCTCCTAGTCCAAAAAAGGACCACAGCCCCTCTGCTAGCTCAAACTGTCATGTATCCTCCCTCCCCAAAGTTGTGGCTATGCAGGTGTACAGACCACACCTCGTACACACAAACCCTCAGTGCAGCCGTTACAAAGCGCTTTGAGACGAATGACTGCTGGTTCCAGTTCTACTCAACGTAAAACACTTATTTACTCACTGAGCTCAGAACAAAACAGGCTGAAAACACAGCACAACTCTATAGGCTGGTGGTTAGGGCATGCTCCCAGAAAGCAAAATATTTTGTTTCCAAACTTTGCTAAACTTATGTTTTTTGGCATTTCAGGCCAGGGAGAACCACAAAAGATGGAAGATATCAAAAGTTAAGTAACTCAGAATATCTACAAATGCATTCAACTTAATAAATGTCCTACTAAGTCACATCAACAGTCCATCTAGCCCAGTGTGTTTGTTATGTTCAGGCTATTAGGAGAAAGCATGCAAGCCTAGCCATTTTCTATGGTTCATTCTTCTTATAATTCAGCATCCAGAACGGTTTATGATAGATGTTAGAGGACAGTATCCCTACCTATCTTCCATTTCACAGAAT